CATGTTTGCATACCATTTTATATATATAGAATTATTTATATATGTATATATATTATATATATATCTATATTATTTATATATAATTTTATGCAATTATATATAATTAAATAATTATATATAAATTATATCTTTATATATAAATTTATATATTATATTATATATAAAGGTGTATATTTATATATAATTTTATATATTTATATATTATATATTTATATATTTATATCATTTATATATATTTAAATAATTATATATAATTAAAATATATATATAATCTATATATAAGTAGTTATATAATTATTTATATTATTTTTATATATTTTATACTTTTACATTATTATTTCATTACTATTTATAATTAATATCTTAATTTAAAAAAACATTTTCTATTTTTTTTTTTTTTATTTAGTGTTTAATTATCAGGTATGTTCACAAATAGTACCCTTTTTTGGAGGAATGAATGGCATCCTGAAGGACAGGATTGCAGTTCATAATTTCCTTGATAAATAGGAGGAAGCTCTACATTAAAAAAAAAAAAAGAATAAAAAACCACAGACTGAGAAAATCCTTCCTGAACACCAGGGACTCCAAAGCAAAGCTGGAACGAGATAGCCTACAATGAAAATATGAATATTTGAATAATGAACAGGTAGAGTGTGTTTGGAATTGGAGGGGGAATAAAGGAAACTTCAGACTACCGTCCTCATAATGTATCAAGAAAATTCTTAATTGAGGAAGACAATTTCTTAAGAGAGCAATTTAACCACGATTAGTGAAGACTCAGTTTGGATGTTAGTAAAAGATCTACAAAGTTCTCCTTAAATTTTCTATTAAATACAATAGATTGCAGTGTTTAAACTTGGAGAGATGAATTTGTTCTTCTTTTGGAACACTTCAGCACGGATTGACAAAACACCCACCAAAAATTTCCTTGGAATATTTATCCTTCCTCAGAGAACAAGGAAGACAGATGAGATGAGGTTCAGCGCTGCATTTCTGATATTGTACATTATTTATCAGACCGAATCCATCACCCTGCATGCATATGTTGATTCAAATGGCCTGTACAGGCACTCTTCTGCAGTCAGCCAGTGGTGAGTGCAGAAGAGTGGGGTTTCATTTGCCTTCCAAACGATTTGCAGACTGTTGCTAAACATTACAAAAGAGAGGGATCAGCAGTCTGCATGACAAGAGCTGGGAATGGTTTGTGCAAAGAGGCCAATGGGACAGATACCCAAAGCTTTCAGAGGGCCTCACTGAGCTGTGCAATTACTGCTGGCATAAGAGCCCTATTCTATATCACCAGATTTCTGTGGCTGAATTTGGCATCTTGGATTCCCTAGCCATATTTAATTTAGCTATTTAGCACATGTTTCTGGGAGACAAAGTGATTTATTTTAAGGCTGGATTGTGTCTTGTGTGCACTACAAGGACAAAAAACACCAAGGAATTGCATTGAGTAAACAAACAGTAAAATCAGATTTTAAAGTCTCATTTTTCTCAGAGGAGAACAGATTTAGGATGGTGGAGTCCACACCAAACATTTGTTAAGGTCTCAAGTATAGGGGTAACCAGTAAGTGTACAGAAAAAAAACACCTGTCCAACCACGAATTTTAAGAGCTGTGCTATTTTCAGGATCACAACCCTGCAGCCTGATGATTAATGAAGACTGACTGTACCTGGTGACCTGCAGAGTGACACAGGAGCAATGAGCCACGAGGAGCTCACAGCTGCTGCTCACAAATGGGCTGCAGCACTGCCCCTGCTCCAGCTGCACTGGGACCCTGGGAACAGTGCAATTCTAAATTCTAGATGTGCCACATCCACCTCAAAAACTCCATGGCAGCCCCTCTTTACCAGCACATGCTCTTTCACAGATCTTTGACGCACTGCCCTCCCTGCTGCCCAATCTGACACCAGGGGTTTGGTCCTGGGCAAGGTTTTCTCCAGGAAACCTGCTGTAATTCACAGTTTGAGGCATGTAAATCAAGTGTCTGACGGCTCTAAGTCATGGAAGGAGAATCCTACTTGGTCAGCTCCCATTTCATGCCATTCTGTGGTCACACCAGGAAGTTTTCTGATGCCGGTGTATCAGCGGAATTTTGCCCGACGGGCGGCAAGAATGATGAGCAGGATTCCATTGTATCAATTAATTGCTTTATTATACTATATTATTCTATATTATTCTATATACTATTATTATACTAAATTATTCTATATTAATCTATACTGCTACGTCTAAACTGAACAACTGAACAAGAACCCAACTGAACAAAATCTCATTACTGTTTCCTGACTGACCGCCAGGACACAGCTTGATGAAGTTGGCCAAGGAAACAAAACACTCGCACCAGAATCCAATCACCACATCCCTTCAGGTAAACAGTCTTCCACAATGCGCTCCACTTGTGCACAAAACACAGGAGCAGCAAAGGAGATAAGGATTCTTTGGATCATTCTTTTCTCTGCTTCTCCAGGAAAAAGCCTGAGAGAGAGAATTGTCTCTCTCTGCTCAGAGAACGTGAATCCCACAGCAGTGAAGCACTTGCTTCAAGCAGTGCTCTCTTTTGGCCAGGCTCTGAGCAGTGGATGTGTCTCCTCGTGGAGGAGGCAGAGGTGCAGCCCAGAAGCAGCATTCAGTCTCATGCCGCTCTTAAGGAATTTCCCCTGAGTTCTGCTGCACCGTGTGAGCTGTTGGATGGCATATGCTCCATCTGAACAGCGGGAAAACAGAGCTGCAAGTGGCATCCACGTTACTGTACACACACAGCTTTTCCTTACTCTGCACAGCTGCTCAGCCACCCTTGGCATCTCCACTTTCTAATAAAAACACAGTGCAAACACTTGAAACAAACATCTTTTTTCTCCTGGTTGCTACCACCCAGCCATGGTACAAGGGACGTCTGTATTTACCACTGCAAGCATTCTTTGAATTCTTAAATGAGAATCTTCAATCTGTATCCACAGAGGCAGAACAGGCAGACACCATCTGAATAAACTTCAGGGAGTTGTGCTAACGTGGGATGAGCATGGTGTTTAAACCACAGATGTACAAATTTAGTTATGGATAACCTTTGAGGCTCCCCCCTGCCCATAAGAACACTGAGTTCAGATTGTTTAATTAAGCGCATTGTATGGGTTGCAATCTTCCCTCAACTGAGATCCATTGGGATTTTTTTTATCCATCTATAGACAATTTCCATTTGCTTCCCACTCTGCTAACTTCAAAATGCCTCTGTACTTCACCAAAGCTTAGTGAGTCTCTCAATATGAATTAGAAATAAAGACAAAACTCAGGCCAAATTTTTCCCATTAGCCACAGCCACAGAGATACTAACAACTGAAATGAAGAAATTAATGGTGACAAGCTTCTTTTAAAATAGATGAAACATCACTATTTCTATTTCTTAGCAGTAGCTGATCCTTCAATACCAGCCTATTCTTTAAAAATCCAACCTTATCAAAAGTAAATATTAAAAAGATTTCTCCCAAATAGGAATTTGTTTCATTGTAAGGGAGATGGAGTTATTCCAACCTCAAAGAAGTTCTCACTTATTCTAGATATTCTAACTAAATATATGAAAACCAGACAGAGTCCTCTAAGCAAACTCAGCATTGAAGAAAATTGGGCAATTACTTGAGTTTGCACATCAGATTTGCTACATACAAAAATCTAGAAGAAATTTAGGAAAATATGTTCATTTCTGGCTCCTTGCAGATGACCAAAATTGAAACTTGAGTATTGCCCTTGCAAACCTTGAAACCCAAGGCAAGTGAAATCTTCGCCTAGAAATCACTATCAAAATTATTATCATTATTATTACTCATACTGTAAATTGTAATCAATGCAATTCAACAATATTTATAAGCCTGGAAAGTCAAACAGCAAACAATACCTCATGTGAGAGCCAAACCTACTTCCATAATTTCTACCTTCTTTCATAAACGTTATATATACTCCCATTTTCCAGAATTCCCTGCATGGAGTGGCTGAAAATACCAATTTGTGAATCATCCTTCTGGATTCTAATCCTTTTAATAACAAACATTTCATCCCACTGAATGTGTTCATTAAGTAAAGTACTACTGAACATAAATAAAACAGCAGAATCTAATTTATGAATGATAAAACAGTCATTACAGCCATGGTAAACACTTCTCAGAGTCCTGTTCTACATCTCAGTGGACAAAAATATCAAGGCAGAGAAACACAAAGGCCAAAATATGAATAGACCAATCGTGATATTCACTTTGGATAAAAGGTCAGGTGTCCTAGGCTCTAGTTCAAATAACTGATTTACAAAAAACAAATAACATTTTTAGCTGTACGAACGAGGGGAGGAAAGCTGCAGTCCAGGTACAGGAGCCTTGACTCCTTGAACACACATGGTGCCATTGCCATATTTTCTGGAAAAATCCCTTCACCAGGATTTCTTCTCCTGGGAAGCCGAGAAACCTCAGGGGAAAAAATGAAAACAGTAATTATCTCATTTGCTTCTCCTAGGTTTTGCTGCTTTGGAATGTGGTTGGAGATTGTTTATCCAAAACAGAGGTCCAGGTTTCATTGGTTTCATGTGAATTGTTTTAACTTAATGACCAATCACCATCCAGCTGTGTCAGGGCTCTTGAGAGAATCAAGGGTTTTTCATTATTATCATCTTTTAGCCTTCTGTCTGTATCCTTTCTCTATTCTTTAGTATAGGAATAGAATAGAATAGAATAGAATAGAATAGAATAGAATAGAATAGAATAGAATAGAATAGAATAGCCTTCTAAGAACATGGAGTCAGATTCATCATTTCCTTCCTGCCACGGGGGACCCCAAAAATGCTGCACACATGGAATTATAAAACGCGCTGTGCTGTCCTCATGTCAACACCCATGAACATTTATGCTTACCAAAACACATTCTGCACTCTGCTCTGCCCATAAAACCTCCCTTCGAGCCAGGCAAACAGTAAGGAAGATTCCCAGGAGTGTAGGTCAGGGAAAGTTCTCTCACCTGGAACGATCCCGCATGGTCTTCCTCTTTGTCCCCTTCTTTCCCCTCCTTGAGGGCGATCAAGGTGAAGCCTCGGAAGTAGGCGGGAGTGGCAGCAGACAGCGTCACTGGGGTGTGATGAGCAGGAAAACAACAAAAACAAGCCATCAGCTGCGAAATCAGCCACCTGCGCGTCGTTTCACAGCTTGAAAGGTGTGTGCTCTGCGTTGGCATCAGCCAAAGTTAGAGCGCTGACAACAGGGAGCCAAGCCAGACAGAATACAAAATGTTCAGTCCAAGTTTCCACATCAACTGAGAAACACTGGCATGAAATAACTCAGCTTTTTTCTCTTTCCCTCCACTTTTTTTTTAAACCAGATTGATAATCTGCTCTGATCTACAGAAGGGTTCTTTTGGTGGTGGGGATACACGTACATGGGGTTTTTCTACTTTGGGTTTTTTTCTTTGTGGTGTTTTTTTTGTTTGTTTTGGGGGTGTGAGGGGAAGCTAGATGTAAAGGAGCATCCCTAAACATTTGATTTTGTGGTTTTTGTCCAGTTCTGAGCACAGACAAAGTACTTTGGTGCACAGAAAGTCTCTCTGTCTGTTATGCCAGATGACCACATTGCCTGCTCCAGCTCAGCTACACTCAACACAACGCCCCAGCTTCTGGAAATGGGGGAATCTCAAAATGCCCTTCCTCTGCTTCATCCTCAGGGCAAAACAGGCCACAAAATTAAACTCCTGGCTGAAGCTGACCCCCAAAGGTTGTGCTGCCAGCCCTGATTGCCAAAGCAATCCCAGAGAGCAGCAAACACCCTCCTCCTTCACACACCTGTCCTGGGCAGGAAGGCAGCCCTGGATCCCCCAGCAGAGCACAGGGAATGTGGGGCTGACTAATCTGATTTCACCGCGCCCAGCAGCAGGATTAAATCCCTGATTGGATGCCAGTGCAAGACAGCTTTGTGTGTTCTTTCTGCTCACTATCAGCAGCACCCAAGCAACACCTGAGTTCACAGAATTCCGGGATATTCTGGGCTGGAAGGCACCAACAAGGATCTCCAAACCCAGCTCTGAAGGGAACGGCCCCTACAGGGGTTGAAGGCACATTTTTAGCACCAGGCTCCAACCAGCTGAGATAATCTCAGAGTCCTCAGCTGAGGCTCTTTTGAGCACTGTCAGAAAGAGAGAATGAGGCAGAATTTTGAGGCAGAACTTTTGAAATTACCAAACTTTCTTCAACAACTTATAAGCAATCCTTTCCTGAAACAGGGGTAAATTTTAGGGGGGAAAAAAGTTATTCTAGAATTAAGCTAAAAGGGACAGAAAATTGAACTCTTAATGTTTTAAGCAGCTTTTACTTTAAGCATAAATTGCAGAGTCACTCATGGTACTTTATTGTCACACTCTCCAACCCTGACAGGCACAATAAAAACTGAAGACCACCCACAGTTTTCAGAGCAAATTACAACTACCAGGGCTGCTCCATAGAAGAGTATCCACAAGAGACTCCCTCTCACACAATTAGGCTGCAAGGGGTTGAATCACACTGCTAAAAATTACAGTATGCTCTTAAAAGATGTGGATTTCAAAATATGCCCCAGAGTTCATTTGGAACATATGGAGAGCTCTTTGATCCAGAAATTCAGTAGCAGGAAAATATAAAATAGGCTAATTGAAAATATATAGCATTATTCAGCTGTATTTGGGTCTAAAACTCATGGTGCCTGCACAAATACCTAACTTTTCTGACTATATGTGGAAAAAAGAAAGGATTGGAGAGATTGATTTCAATTTTCAAACTTTTTTGTAAGTGCCATTTCTTTGACCTATAAACCTGCAAACACCTGTACAAATCCGGGGTAGTGATGGCACAATAGGAAGTCCCCCAGCTCTCCAGATTTTCATTCCATGGAACCTTATGATGAGCTGAAATGTCATGGTTTTAGGGGAGAAAGAAGATTTCACATATTTTGTTCCATATAAGTGGGATAGCAGCATAATGCCATTAAAATTTCTGCTTACTTTACAAAGTATTGCTCCGATCCATTAATTCATTTCCTGCCCAATAATTAGCATGATTAGTCCAGTTTTGCAAACTTCTGCAGCTCTGGCTAAATGAGAACCCACAGGCAGCCTCTGAGCTGCAACAACCGAGAGCAGCACACTGCTGAACTCAACAGAGATGAACACATTACTGCTGCTTGAGCAGTGATTCTTAGAAATTAAACTGCCATAAAGGCCTTTTACATGCATCAAATTTTTCCATATCACATGCAATTAAAGACTCTGAGTCACTGTGAGCTAAAGGTTACACCAGAAACACTCAAATATGTGTGCAAGCAAGCAGAGAATCCAGCTGCGAGTTGACTCAACAAGTTTTCATTTTCCTCACCAAGTCACAAACAGCTTTCCAAATTCTGAACACCTACCTATAAAACAGAGAGAGGACCTGAAACGCTACAGAAACATCTGAAGGGAAGGCGATTCCAAAGCCTGACTCATAGTTTTTGAATGCCTGGGGTGAGCAGTGCCCCCGCTGCGGTTTGCAGAGGTTTTAACCCCGGATAAATGGGAGGGAAGGATGCGCCCACCCCCAGCCTGCGCTGCTCACTCAGCAGCCTCATCCAGGCAGCTGGGCTCGGGAACTCACCCAGCCCCAAGCCAAACAAACCAAATCCAGCCCCAAACCCCAACCATCCGAGCCCAGCCCCGGGGTTCAGCCGGGTCCGTCCGTGCGCGGCTGCTCCGGAGCGCGGTGAGGCGCACGGATGGAGCGGGAGCGCACGGAGCGGAGCGGTCCTGGGGATTCAGGGTCTGTGCTTTGGGATTTGCACCTTCGGGGGTGTGTGCTTTGCTAGGCCAGAACGCCGGGGAGCACCTGGGCTGGGAAGGGTTCTGTGGGTGCTCGGAACCAGGTGCGCTCAGGCGGCACCAGAGCACACGGGGATTTATCCCCAAATCCGGAACTGTTCTGGAGTCTCTGCCCCTGCACTGGGAAGCTGTCAGAGCACATCTGTTTTTCACAAGGGAGCGGCTCTTTGTTGCATAAGAGCCGAGAGTTCTTGGGCTGAACTCCGGCGTTTTGAGCAGCAGCTGTGTCCTGCTCACACCGCCTTCACACTAATTAACTTTCACTGAGCGATAGGAACTTCCTGCATGCATCGGAGTTAAGGATTTCACTTTAAAGGGAAGATTACAAATCAGCAGTTACTTTTGTCTGCTTCCATCCCTCTGGCAAGTCTCTAATTACTTTAAAAGTTGCACTTTGGCACACGCCTTCAACACGCTCCCCTTTCCTCAGCGTCCCAAGCTGAAGGTGGGGTGATCAAAGCACTTGCTCCTTTGGTTTCAGGCAGGAAATCTGATTATTCTCATCCTGCACATGCTGTGTTGTACACTGCACAAGTACCAACAAACACGCGTTCCAAATTTCACCCGTATTTTGTGAAACGTGGGAATGGCTAATGTAGCTACAGAATGAGTGCTTGCTTGCAAAGTGTTTGCACATTGAGGAGGGAAGAAAGAAATGGAAAGAAAAATACTCAACATGGTTTAGAGGAGAACTCCCCAAAGCAATGCAATGGAGGACAACATCTTAAGTGATCCCTTCCTCAAAAACTGAGAAAGTGAACTGACCTACAAGTGGAAATTCCATTAAAACCAGAAACAGCATGCACACAGAAGGTATATGTAAGGGTTATAACTATTCTAGTACTCCTTTTCTTCTCCCGAATAATCACTTCATGATATCATAGCAGAAAGTAGGTCTACTGCCTGTTAGCATGTGAAATGGGCACACCACTGCCTTTTTGTAGGAGCAAGTTTATTTACATTTTAATAGCATGAAACTCACCTCATTTTTTCATGGAAATCCCATGCAATCATTACTGTAACTCCACAATCAATGAAGCCAGGACTGAGTGTTTTCAAGGATCATTACCCTGCACCACCATCCAGATTCAGGCTCATCTGTGCCTCTGATGGAGCAGCTCCATCCAGGAAGAAGGTGCCCAGCAGGGGGGAGAGGACCTCGACCCTGGGATGGTGTGCCCACACACCTGGTCCTGCAGGGAGACATTTCTAATGGTCTGGCTGGAGAACGTGCCCTTATTCAGTGCTGCCAGGCAGAGGAGGAGACTGCCCACCCAGAGAAGCCACTCAGTGCCCAGGGCTGCTGTTTTCTACCACAGCTCCAGAGGTGGAAAACCGAGGCTTCACAGATCCCCCTCAGGGCAAATAGATTCTGATTGATCTAAAGGTGAATAACTGCAGGGGAGCCATAAAAACTCCCTCAAACAGTGTGGAATCCTGATTCCCACACTGCAAGTGCGCTGAGATATCTCCTCCTTGAGAGCCTCAAGTGTCACATCCACTGATGGCATGAAGATAAATGGGTGTCCCTACACTGAGGCTTTTGTGGAGCACACTTGCATGCACAGATAATTCCTGGGTAATCTGCCTTGAAAATACCGGGTTTGCTCCAAGAGCCCACTAAGGAATGTGCCAAGGATCCAGATGCATCCATTCAGGCAGGGGCCATGGAAACAGGAATATCTGGCTCCAGTGCTAAGGAGGTTGTGCAAGTCGTCTGCTATGTTGCATTTAGAGTAATTTGCAGATGAATAAATACAAACAAACAAAACCCCACAGACCTGTCATGATGTCTCATTTTTTAAATCATTAGTTGGATTTTCCATCCTCTGCATAAAATAGTAACAAAGTTCCAGTTGGACTGTAGAAATGGCTTTGAAAGCAAGCTCTCAAAACTTTCTGTATATTGCCAGTTTTAACTACTGCTATGTTACAACAACATTTATTTGTGTTCTTCCAAGAATAATTTATTTGTGTCCTTAAAGAATAATCTACACACCCCAAAGTGCCACCTGAGTACTTCAGTCCTAAGGATCAGAAATGCAGGCACATATCCTGGTCTACATTTTAACTTTTTTACTATTAGCTGTAATTTTCTCACTTCCAAGCAGCTATAATAGCCTAATGTGATTTTATTAATTGACTTCCTAATGCCAAGACCTAATATCTCCAGAAAATTAGTTCTGCTAATTCATCTGGGAGTTTCCTCCTACATTTCTATGCAAAAGAAACTTCTTTGGTAGATGACTGAAAATGCCCAGTAACACTTTCACAGAAGTGAATTCCAAAACTTTTAAAGAACGTTCGCTTTTGTCACTGTCAAAAAACTTAGCACATCTTTATCCTGCTTAGTAGATATACCAAGCTGACAGACCACATGAAATCTTCTAGACTCCAGGTACCAATCCCAATGTCTGGAACAGCTACCCAGCTTGTGGGAAATGTGCATTTCCTCACATGGCGTTAAAATAAAATAGTTTTGGGGGGAAAAAATCACGTCAGTAGCATGCAAAGTTACAGAGTGGTGCTCAAAACAGGTGAACTACTGCTGCAGACGCATTTCCCAGCCTTTGAATGATTATGCTACATGCACACTTTTTTCTCCCTATATATATGGAGATTCCCATGTTTATGCAATGGGAAAATGTTGCTCTTTACCCTGGACCTAAGAAACACTTTGAAGGATCTCCCAACATCTTTTTTCCTAAAAGTGTGTTAGTTATGGTACCTAAAAATGTCCAAGTTCTCTTCAAAGTGCTTTTAGAATACAAGATTAACAGTACGTTCCAAGCAGGTTTATTTCTGAAGGCATTATAGAGTGAGGCAGGAAAAGTGACCAAAACCTGTCTTTGCCTGTTAATTAGTAAAACACACCCAAATGTGCTTTGGAAGTTCATTTCAAGGACTGTGTGTGACATGCTCAGGGAAGAACGAATGCCTCCCTCCATCTCTTATTTACAGTGGTCGTTAGCACTGTCTCTGCCTCTTTCCTGTTTGAACCATCTGTTCATTTGCCCGGAAAAAAATAAATAAAAAAAAAGAAGAAATGGGGTGGGATAAACCTAAGTGGAAAATGTGGGAAGTTGGCAGCGTGCTGCATAATGTTTGCCCATATGCTAACTCATTATGTTAACATTCATATTTCAGGGCAGGAACGGTGAGCTCCGAGCTTCCTCTCCTCCCTGCTGAATGCCAAAGCTTCTCCCGTGCCCTGGGTTATATTTAAAGGGATGTAAGGAATCCCACAGGAGCGGGTAAACGGGGGAAGAGCGAGTGCGCTTTGCATCGCTGCAACTTGCGATTCTTGTGCGAGCGCTGAGCCTGTGCAGAGGGCTCGTAAAAGAAGGGAAATTCCTCTTAACGAGGAGGAGTGCTTGGGAGCAAAGTGATCCACCGAAACCCAACTCCTCTCGCTCGCCATGGAAGCAGCATCCCCAATAAAGTAACGCGTGGGGCGCATCGCCCTGCCTTAACCCGCGCACGCCTAGAGGGATGCGGGGATGGCAGGCAGAGCCACGCCACGGCTCCACAGCCCCTCATCCTCACCGTTCTCGCCGGCAAGGGATGCGGGGGACGCACAACTTACCCCGGTAACTGTTCCCAGGCTTGTAAAATTCCGGATCGCCCTCCACCCTGAGGCTGAATTCATTGTACCCTTCCCTCCGGGTGCCTTGAGCTCGCAGGATCCGGCTGCAATATCCCTCGGACTTGGCGGCTTTCTCCAGGGTTTCGTCGGGAAAACCCTTGGCCACCAAGGGGAAAGTGAGCGCCAGGAGCCGCAGGGCCAGCGGCTGCAGATGCGCTCCCATCCTCGGCGCTCCGCACAACTTTTGGGGGGCACGGCAGGGCCGGGCAGGGCCGGGCAGGGCTGGGCAGCTCGGGCCGAGCGCTCCGGGCAGCCCCGGCCCCGGTGTGAGGCTGCCGGCTCGGCTCGGCACGGCTCGGCACGGCTGGGCTGGCTCTGCCGGCGGAGGGAGGGGAAAAGCAGCGAGGGGGCAGAGAGGGAGGGGACGGAGAGAGGAGGGGAGGAGGAAGGGAAGTGTGATCTTGCCCAGAGCCCGGAGTGAAGTGCTGGTTTGTTTTAGCGGCTCGGCCGCGTTTGAATTCGCAGGGCTCGCTGGCAGAGGGGCAGGGGACGCTGCTGAGCCCCCCAGCGCTGAAATCAATCACCCGCATTCCTGCTAAAGCCTGGAGTTACTGCAGGGATAACGAGGCTCAAAGAATTCCCCCCACATCCCCCTCCAGCCTCCCGTCCTCCTGCGAGGCAGCAGAGGTGATAAACATCACCGGCTGAACAGCGCGGACAGAGCGACAGGAGCAGCAGGAGCATCGCTGCGGTTCCCCGGGTACCACGGAGGGACAGAAGGGGACAGAGGGGACAGGGAGGCGGCTGTGCCATAAACACGAGGTCCATGTCCCCAGCAGAGCACATCCTGCGGCTCTGATGGGGACATGGACCTCGTGTTTGTGACACAGCCACCTCCCTGTGCCCCTCTGTGCCCTCCGTGGTACCCGAGGAGCTGCTGGGTACACACACACACACAGACCCGCACACCCTGCGGCTCCTTGGGTACCACGGAGGGGACAGAAGGGACAAGGAGGTGGCTGTGCCACAAACACGAGCTCCATGTCCCCATCAACCTGTCACCATGTCCCCATCAGAGCTGCAGGATGTGCAGGGGTGTGTGTGTGCTCCCTGCATCTCCTTGGGTACCACAGAAGGGGACAGAGGGGGACAGAGGGGACAGGGAGGGGGCTATGCCACAAACACGAGGTCCATGCCCCCATCAGAGCCGCAGGATATGTGTGTGCGCGCTCCCAGCGCTGCTCACCTCACCTAGGGCAGCGTGGGAGGTCTGTCCCTCCCAGCCCCCGGGAAATCCCAGCAGATGCACCCAGCAGAGGGCACGGCTCGTTATTTTGCCTCTACACCAGGCACGCTGAGGCTGAGTGACTTGTCTGAATCCACAAAAGAAGATTACAACGGTGGGAGAAAAGAAAGTGAACCTAGACCCCTGGGGTCCCTAACTCCGGGGGATTGAGCCTAAGATGCTCTTCTCCTCTCTCTCCCTTCCTCCACTGCTTTATGAGTGGAGGAGAAAGCAGGAAAAGTCTTCAAGCAGGACCTGAATACTTTGAGTATGACAGATGCACAAGAGGGCACAAATCCCTTTCCAACCCCCTTCTCCAGGACAGGACTGTAGCAGATGGATGAACACAACTGCGTTTATGCACAGCTTCCAAGAAGCAGGAGAAACAGCAAGCAGTTTGAAGTCCTCCTGAACCCCACTAAGGCATTTGTTAGCATCAGGTTTGCAAATGTTTGGGTTCCAAACTTACCTTTGGAATATGATTAGCAACTTCCAAATTGTCTACAAAGCAGCAATGTGCAATGCAATGCTTGGCTACAAAACACCTGACTTTAGAGACCATAGCATCAGCCTCACGTTGTGTGTCAAATAAAGGTGCTTATTTAGGTGTCTGTGAGGATGCAGGACCTTTATTTTCTGAAAGATTACTTGCCAAGAGCTTTGCTACTGTGTCAGCTTGTTTGTATTTCAGTCTGTTGCACGCTCTTGAAGAACTTAAATTGCCACAGCCTCAAATTCTTCATTCGCTAAAGATTATATTAACAAAGATGGGATTGGTTGGGTGAGATTTTAGCTTTTGCTGCAGACACAAAGCTACTGGCAATGTCCCTCCAGGTCTGAGAAGGGTGGCAGCACTCTGGTCCCAAAGTGAGTGGTAAAATCCCATTTGTGAGGACATGCCTGCTTACACACTTGCTACAGAGGCTGGGGCTGACTGCAGGGACTCCCACTGCTGAGGAAAGAGTTTGATTAGGCAAGGAGAAGAGGTCTTGGCAGGTCTCAGGAACAAAATGCAAACATTGATTATCTGCTGCTGTGGAATGCAACAGGTGCATCTGTGATTGGTTCGTGTTGGATGTTTGTAATTAATGGCCAATCACAGTAAGCTGGCTCGGACAGAGAGCCCAAGCCACAAACCTTTATCATTCCTTTCTATTCTTATCTAGCCTTCTGACTAAACATTTTCTTCTATTCTTTTAGTATAGTTTTAAGGTAATATATATAATAAAATAATTAATCAATCCTTCTGAAACATGGAGTCAGATCCTCATCTCTTCCCTCAACCTGAGATCCCTGTGAACACCGTCACAGGTCTCATTTGACCATGATCTTCACCTCATTCATTTATGAGAACAAGCTTTGCTTTATGCGGGTCCCTCAGCCAAAGATGCCTGTGAATTTGATTAATTTGATATTTGACTTCTCATTTCTTGTGCTGAGATTGATTGAAAAGCAATTACCTGACTAAAGCATTCCTGACAGGAGCTGCACAGGCTTCTGCACAATCCACCTTTGTTTTGAGCAAGTGTTGTGTTCTAACTCAACACTCCTCAAAGTGTTTCTAGTCCTTTTCAGGTTTTTAGGGGGTTTTATATGGTAGCTGATTCATCAGCATCTATTGACTCTTAGCTTCCAGTAGATTTTATGTCTCTTAGCTTTTAATTCCTGAAATGGCCTGGGCTGTTACTTCTGGTAATTTTTTGTTCAAAAGCATTGTAAAGTTTCCTAGAAAGGCATAGCAGAGTGTCTTGCTAAAAGTGAATGCTTCAACTTAGCAACTGATACAGACAAATTAACCTGCACTGCCTACAGCCATGAAATGAGTAATTTGTTGTAGAGACAGTGTAGAGTATGGGCAATGTCATTAAGCACGGGCATCCTCGGGGTTTTCTATTTGTTCTACTAATTAGTGTGTGTTTGCCTGAAGCATCTAGCATGATGTATCAGTCAGAGATGCCTACAGACTGATGAGCCCAACCATCCATGGCAAATCTCACAGAGGAAGCCTTGCATCTGGGAGACTTCCCTTTGTGCACTTTCTAGCATGAATAAAGGTGCTGTCCATGACTATTAGGCATAACAATAATTACTGGGATAATATTGCACCTGATGGAGCTGTAATGGTTGCAGGAAACTCTCTCTCCCTTCCCCCTCACTCCACAAGTTGGGCTTTCCTAACAAACAAAACTCATTCCACAGTGTCAGCAGTCTTTCTCACTTTTTGCTTCCCCAGAAAAGGAGCCCATTTTTTCAACTGGCATTTTAGAAGGCTGCTCCAACTGCTGCAGAATACCCCAGCATTGACTGGAAGATATGATAGGGGGCATTTAATAGGTTTTTTTTTTCCTTCTGCTTCTATGATTTCAGTTAGTTGCTTGAAGTCTTGGGAATTGTCACAATGTGCTTGGCTACACAACACCCAATTTGAGAGACCATAGACCTCAAAGTAAACCAGTGCCTCAGGTAACTATATAAACTGATTACATGAATATTAGACCCCTTAAAAGAGCCAGCTCTCAGAGCAAGAGGCCCAAAAAACCCAGCCAAAATAACACATCAGGGTGGCTGGTGCCCTAAATCTCACAACCATCAGGTGCTTGATAACTTCTCTGGGCTGTAGGATTCACCTCCCTAACCCCAGGAGCTTTAGTATTTTCTATAAATAAAAGTATAAAAAAGAAAAATATATTTTTATATATAAAAAAAAATAAAAATATATTAAAAATACAGAAATAATAATAATAACAACAACAACAACAGGGGGATACATCTCTTTCACAAGATGTCTGGAATGTTACCCACTCTTCCAACAAGAGCTAATGATTAAAATATTCCTGTAGAATGTCAGAGACAAATGGGTTTCAACTCCTTACTTGGTTTGCAAGGCCTCAGATCCTCATCTCTCAGGAAGCTGCTCATTGTGAAAATTTAAACCTTCTCAAAGCACTCTCATTGAAACTGTAGGCTTCTAAAGTTGAAGTGATGCTGAAATGAAAGAAAGGAGAGGGAGGGTGTTGTATCAATTAGAATGGATTTTCTGGAGACAGATCCAGGGTGCCTTTTCCTTCTCCTCCTCAGACATTAATTGTATTGGGAATTGTATTGGGATCAAAAGCTCTCCAGGGGTTCAGGTGGTCACCTACCATCAAAAGTTTGCACTAAGTGCATTCTGAATACCTCTGCCAAATTAGGAGATGGAAGCTGAGGAAAATGACCAAAAGTGACTTTTAACTCTTCCTCACGAGCAAGACATTCCCTTGCTCCCAGGCACCAGGGCAGAGGATGCTGCTGTCCAGGCAAAGGAAGGATGGAGCAGGCTCTGAATGCCTGGGAAACAACACAATCTGCAATAAAACCTTCTGGGAGGGCAAAAAGGCATCTGAGGATTGCACTTTCCAAGGTGCCCATCTCATTTTCAGACCTTTGTGTCTCACTATAGATTTAGCTATCAGTCTAATTTGCATCTCTCTCCCTTCCCACTGCTCCGGCAGCCATAGCCAGTTTTCCTTAAACAAGACAGAAACTCCCTCTATTGATTCAGATGGAATAATAACCCTGTTGCCATTAAAATCCCCCTGCACCTACAGCAAGAGTGAGGCTTTTCTCACACAGTTCATGCTGTCTGAAAGGGCATGAAAGAAAGGGACCCAGAGATATCTGCTGTCCTATTAGACAAAGTAAAGAGCTTGGGAGGCACTTAAAATGATTTCTTACTTCTCTGTAGCACTGTTCTCCACTTCTTTTCTCTCCAGAAGCCAAGCAGTGACAAGTAATGACAGTAAATGTTTGCAGAGGTCTGTTTGCCATTTACACCACTTTACACCACTGTCAGTCAATACCATGTATCTCCAAAATTAAACTTCCCAGCAGCTCACTGTATTTGCCTGTTCAGTCATGCATGCCCTCTGCATATTTTCACACTGACAATGCAGAGAGTTTTCATTTCCAGGGCATTTTATAGAAATATTTTGTCCCAGACACGGTGGGAATAGCATCATGCTTATTACTGAAGGTGCTGAGAGAAACAGAGGCAGAGAGAGCAGCCCTGTGCAGG